TGCCATGAATCCTCCTGAGGGGGGGACCATTGCCCTTGCTGTAAGGGGTAACACCGGGGCACCGAGAAAAGGGGAAAATCAGAAAAAGACAGATGATAAAGACAAAATGTGGTGTACTCATTGCCAAAAACCTAGGCACACTCGTTAAACCTGCTGGGAATTGAATGGGAAACCGAAATGGTCACAGGAATTGGGTAAGAAATCAGCACAAGAGCTAAGCAAGAAGCCATACCAGAAGAAGTTTACTTTGGCTCAGTTAGCATCTCATGAACATCAGAGTACTTCTCAGGGCTGCCCCCCTTCTTCTGACCCAAAGGAAGATATTATAAATTCCTTTCGTGACCACCTAGAACAATATGGTAGGGCTCTCTGCAATGCTGATTCTGGACCCACACCTTCTACTTCTTTTGCCTCCTCCTCAGGTAATTCTGCCTCAGCTTTCCGTGTGTTTACTGATAACCCGGAATCCCTATGGATCTTTGATTCCGGTGCATCCAACCACATGACTAGTAACTCAACCTTGTTTCAAACATATTCTCTTCTCTCTGGCAAAGATAAAGTGATGCTAGCAAATGGATCATTCTCCTTCATTGCTGGTCAAGGATCTATATCTTTTCCTTTTGGCCTCTCCTTATCTAATGTCCTACATGTTCCAAAATTACCCATTAATTTGTTATCCATTAGTAGTATTACTCATGCTTTGAATTGCTCAGTAACTTTTTTCCACATTCTTGTGTTTTTCAGGATTTGGCTACCGGGAGGACGATGGATGGTCTGTACGTGCTAGAGAACAAAGTTGGTCGTACAGTTTCAGAGTCTTGAGTCCGTCGAATAAGAGTCAGATTATTTTGTGGCACCACTGTTTAGGCCATGTTTCTTTTGAGTCTTCAAAGTTTTTGTTTCAAGAGTTGTTTAAGTCTTTGTCTATTAGTGATTTTCAGTGTCAAGTGTGCCAACTGAGTAAACATTGTAGAACCCCATTCCTTTACGTAATAAAAGATCAGAATTTCCTTTTCAAATTGTGTATTCAGATGTGTGGGGACCTGTTAATTTTCCAACTGAGATTGGTTACAAGTATTTTATTTCCTTTGTTGATGACTTCTCTCGCTACACTTGGATTTATCCTATGCACTCATGGGAGGAAGTTCCTAAAATTGTGAAAGACTTTCAGCATATGGTTTACACCCAATTTCAATCCGAGATCCGAATCTTCCAATCAGATAATGCCAAGGAATATTTCCATGGAGACCTCACAGATTTCATTGCCTCCTGTGGCTCTCAACACAGGAGCTCTTGTGCCAAAACCCCACAACAAAATGGGGTTGTAGAAAGAAAAAATCAACATCTCCTTGAAGTTGCTCGAGGATTAATGTTACAGATGAATGTTCCTAAAAGATTTTGGGTGGATGCTGTGCTAACTGCTGCCTATGTCATCAATAGAACACCATCTCGGGTATTGGAATATAGGTCTCCTCATCAGCTCCTTTTCCCTAAAGCTCCTTTGTTTCCTATCCCTATGCGGGTCTTTGGATGTAAGTGTTTTGTTCATGATCTCTCTCCTACTCGTGGTAAGTTTGATCCTAAGGCTATTGTGTGTATTTTTCTTGGTTATCCCCTTGCTTAGAAAGGTTGTCGTTGTTTTGACCCTGTGTCTAAAAAATATTGTGTCTCTATGGATGTCTCTTTCTTTGAAGATGTTCTGTACTTCCCTGTTTCTCCTTAGGGGGAGAGTAGAGTTGAGAAGAAACAGAGTTAGACTCAAGTTTTGTTGCCCTCTATTCCTGAGGCTCCTCTATTTCGTGTCTTTTGGAGATTGCACTACAAAAATCAAAGCCAACATAGTTCAATAGCCACAGAGCCACCATAAACCATGCCACCAATGCCATCAGAATCTCAGAAGCTGGATCCTTCACCCCACCCAGGTGCTATTGTTCCAGTTGATGTTCCTGAACCTATTCATATTGACACTTCAAGTTGTGATCTAAACCTCCCTATTGCAAAAAGGAAGGTGTCAGATCATGCACCACACACCACCCTGTATCTCATTTTTTATCCTATGAGAATGTCTCATCTTCCTTTCGTGCTTGTCTATCTTCCATTGATAGTATTACCCTTCCCAAGAGTGTTGCGGAGGCCTTACTTGTTCCTAAATGGACAAATGCAATGAAAGAAGAGATCAATGCTCTCCACAAGAATGGAATGTGGGAACTGGTAGATCTTCCTTAGGGAAAGGAACCTGTAGGGTGCAAATGGGTCTTCTCTATAAAACATAAGGCAGATGGGTTTGTGGAAAGGTACATGGCTCGGCTAGTTGTGAACGGTTTCACACAGGTGCATGGAGTTGATTATGCCGAGACTTTTGCTCCGGTTGCAAAAATGAACTCTATCCAGGTTCTCCCGTCTTTAGTTGCAAATCTTGAATGGGAGCTTCACCAACTTGACATAAAGAATGCCTTCCTAAATGGTGATTTGGAAGAGGAAGTGTATATGACTCAACCCCCTGGTTTCTATGTTAAGGGAAGTGAACAGAAAGTCTACAAATTGAAGAAATCTTTGTATGGTCTAAAGCAATCTCCAAGAGCTTGGTTTAGCAGGTTTCATCAAGTAGTTCAACAAATGGGTTTTAAGCAGTGCCAATCTAACCACACACTTTTGTAAAGAGGGAACAAGGAAAAACAACAGCCTTGATTGTCTATGTAGATGATTTGTCATCATTGGAGACTGGGTCTCAGAGATTCAGAGGTTAAAAAAATTTCTTGCTACACAATTTGAGGTAAAGGACCTAGGGCACTTGCGTAACTTCCTTGGCATTGAGGTTGCTTGCTCTCAGCAAGGCATCTTCATTACCCAAAGGAAGTACACCCAGCTCTCAGCAAGGCACCTCTCAGCAAGATCTCCTAAAGGATATAGGGAAGCTAGGAGCTAAACCAGCTGACACACCTATAGATGTAAATCACAAACTTGGGGATTGCAGTGGTGAATTCTTGAAAGATCCAAGGCAGTACCAAAGACTTGTAGGAAAGCTTCTCTACCTATCCATGACCAGGCCTGACATAGCATATGCTGTGGGTGTCCTTAGTCAGTTCATGCATGCACCTAAGGAGGCACACTTAGAGGCAACATACAGAGAGTTCTTAGGTACCTGAAGAAATTTCAAGGGGCAGGTTTACTCTTTAAGAAACATGGGCACATGGGAGTAGAGGTGTATACAGATGCAGATTGGGCCGACTCAGTGGATGACAAAAAATCCACCAGTGGATATTGTACCTTTGTTGGTGGAAACCTTGTGACTTGGAGAAGCAAAAAACAGAGTGTGGTGGCCAGGTCAAGTGTAGAGGCAGAATACAAGGCTATGTCACATGGAGTTGTAGAGTTACTGTGGATCAATAACCTATTGAATGAATTAGGATTTCCTTTTGATGATCCTATGTCACTCTATTGTGATAACAAAGCTGCCATCAACATTGCAGCCAACCCAGTTCTCCATGATAGAACCAAGCATATTGAAGTGGACAAACATTTCATCAAAGAGAAAATTGAGAAGGGATAAGTGTGCACTCCCTACATTAGGTTTGATGAACAACTTGCAGATGTTCTTACTAAAGGATTATGCTCACTACGACATTATAATCTTTGTGACAAGTTGGGGATGATTGACATCTACACCCCCATTTGAGGGGGAGTGATGAAATCTGTACTATATGCCACAAAAGGGTATTTTCGTCTTTTCCTCTTTTTTATTTGTCTTGTTCGCCCTAACATATAAATAGCAATGCTGGGCACCGCCAACAGTGGTTTCTTTTTGGTTCTCACGTCATTCTTCTTATCCTTTTCTTCTTCTTGCTGAAAACACTTTTATTAGACCCCTTGCATCTACTTTTGAAATCAATCTCCCCAACACATCTACTATTAGGGTGAATAGGAAAGGAGAGAGAGGGTAATACTTGCCACTACTCTGCATGTTTCTTCAATTCCTTGTGACCACTGGATTATTGACTCAGGGGTGTCAACCACATTACCGATAGGCCTAGTCTTTTTTCTTTATATTAACTGCGATCAGGGAGAGATAGGGCGAGGGGGGCACCTTGCCGCCTAGTTTCCTAGGTGATGGATTTTTTTATGTAGAAAACATAGATTCTACAGTAGTTCCCTAGGTACTATAACCATATTTCCTTAATAATTATTCATAATTTTCATAAGAAAAGTTTAGAGTTCATGTTAAAGTATAGAAAGTCAACATATTCATGAAAAGAAAAAGAAGGAAAAGAAATTTCAAAAATATAGGGACTGAACCCTTATTTTTGTTATAGGAAAAGAAGAAAAGAAAAAGTAGTACTAGTAGAAGAATATATGGAAGAAGAAAATGTGTTGATTAGACAAAATTTTAAGCTCTTCCCTACTTAGTGGTTCAGGTTTCGAAGTCTTTAAGGGTTCAATACAGCATTTAGCAATGTTTGTGTTGATTAAACCCTAACAAATAAGAAAATAATAAAAAGAAATTAGTATATAAACACACAAAATGGATATTTTAGTTTAATAATGTCTATTTTATAACTATAATGTCAAAAAATAAAGAATAAAAAACTATATTATAATAGAAAGTACAAAACTTCTTGTCAATTAGGTGAGACGAGCCTCAAAGGGTGCCTTGTCGGCTAGGTGCCGCCTTAACAACTATGTTTCCTACTTTGTTCAAGTCAGTGTCTGTGTCTTCATTGTAGTGTCCTACATGTAAAATAAGTAAACATTTAAAACTTATCCTTTAAGTAATAAAAGAGTTGATTTTCCTTTCCAAGTTGTTCATTTAGTCTGTGGGGTCATACCTCTTTTGCAATTAATGGTGGATGTCATTGTTTAATTAGTTTTATTGATGATTATTCCAAATACACTTGGCTTTTCATGTTTCAATCACGAGATAAAGCTCCACAAAAATGATTATCTGTAGAAGTCCATAAACCAAACAGTACATTGTGAATCATTCATGTAAACCAAGCACAAACCTCAATTCCATGAGGGCCAATACGATTGCGAGCAATAAAATTGAGTATAAGTGATGCAAATTCATCAGATGCATCTTCCTGCAACATATAAGAAATTTAAACAAGACATAATCTTAATGAACTCACTGATAAATTATGAGGAAATATACTAAAGAAAATAGAGAAAATAACCTGTATAGCATGACCAGTGTGCCGGACAACCTCCATTTGGAACTTGCCTTGCATTTGACCTATCGTGAGAGATCTGTAACAGTATATGGAAGTTAACTTCTTAATGTATTACATTTAGTTGACCATTTCTCTTGTCTTTGATGTCCTTAATTTAAGACTGACGATTGATAGGACATAACATGGTCAAGGAAATATCTCAAGACTTGATTTTCTTTTCTTACTACACCTTGGTTAGTGGACCCAAGTTGAAAATATTGGTCCCTATAAATAATCAAGAGAATTTTGTTCTGATGAACAGGCATGTGACAACTATAGAGTATGAGAACCTTGTGTTGGATGATCAAAAGAGTTGTGAGATACCTGTAGGGGTTAGGATGAGTACTCCGTCTTTTTGCTTGATGTTTGGAGTGCAAATATTGTTTGGCAATGTTTATTGTTTTTTTTCTTTTATTTTTATTTTTATTTTTGATAGTAAAACAAAAATTCTCATTTAAAAGAATAAAGAGAATTACAATCCACTCAGGTCTTAAGGTAAAACTAAGAAGGAACAAGTTAAAAGAAACTCTCAGAATTACAATTTTGTAACTCAAGTACATCACAAAAATTAACCCTAGACTTGAGATGCAAACATGCAAACTTGTGCACCACTACACCCCAGGCCTAGATTGCAAGCCCAAGCCTGGCCCTATACGAGTCTGAGCTGGGCTTTCTGGGCCTATGACATGAAATAATAAAATTTAATTTAATTAAATATTGTGTAAATGTAATACGTACAAAAAATTACACAAGCCAAAGTTAAATTGGGCTTGGCTATGGCACAAAAAACAAGGCATGACCCTCATTTAATTGTTAGACTTGATTTGGCTTGGGTTACCTATCCTTTTATAGAGGAAGCAAGGCCTTCATTCCCATTCTTGAGTATTGTGGGATTTGGAACACACTAAATAATTAGTGCAGCCATTGAGTGTTTTCCCAGGTCCCACATTGCTTAGGGAATGAGAATGAAGCTTTTGCGTTCATCTATATCAGGCTTTGCTTAAGAGGACAAATTTCATACTTGAATTGGCTCAAGTGTTGACATATGTATTGACACGTTTCAATTCATAAATATTTATTTATATGTAAAATAAAATAAAATTTTTATATTTAACATATATATTATGGGCCGGACTGGGCTTAGGTTGGGCTTGAAGTATTAGAACCAAGCCTGGCCCTGAATTTTCTGGGCCAGAGCCAGGCTGTACAAAAAAAATCTAAGCCCAAGCCCGGAAATTGCAGGCTGGGCCAGGCCGGGCCAAGAATGATCACCCCTAGTTGGGGGGGGGGGGACTTTGTGTTGGAGGATGAACTACCCCCTAGTGTGTAGCTCTTCAAAAGATATCAAAATATAATCTTGTCCAGCATGATGGGACCAAGCACATTGAGATTGATAGAGACTTTGTGAGAGAGGATTGTGTCTAGAGAGTTATGTATTCCTTACATGCCATCTACAAGACAAGTTGTTGATGTCTTCACTAAGGGTCTTGCCAAATCCAGATTTGGAGAATTGGTATGCAAGCTAGGCATGATGGGCATCTATACTCAGCTTGAGGGGGAGTGTGGTGCGACTTAACAGTGTGGGCCTCGGCCCATTTATGTTATGTCTTTCTTATTTCTTGTTGGACTGTACTGTTGTGTTAATGGGCTTGGGTCCACTTTCATTTTATGTTACACTACCTCTTACTAATGAGGGGTAAAATTGTAATCTTATGTTTTATTGTTGCTCTAATATAAATACCAGTTTGAAGGGCTGCTTAGAGGCTTCCACCCTATTCTCAATCTCACTTCTTCTTCATGAATCAGGATACAAATACGTCCAATCCTAAGTGTAAAAGTTGTCAACTATCCAAGCATTGTATACATTCTTATATTACAAGCAATAAAAGATGTTCAGTTCCATTTGATCCTGTTCACAAAGATATGTTGGGACATTCCTCTTGTCCTCTCATGTATTTCAAGCAATAAAAGATGTCTAGAAAGAGGGAAGCTGAGCCTCCTTTGCAAGCTTGATTTGGAAAAAGCTTATGACCATGTTCACCGGAGGTGCTTAGAAATTGTCCTTGAGAAGGACTTTGGTCAGAAGTGGAGGAATTGGATTGAGGTTTGCATTACTTCCCCAAATTCTCCATCTTCCCACAGTTGCTCCAACTGGTTGTTGACCAAGACACAATGGTGGCCGACTGCTATGAGCTCTTGGGGAATGTTCTAAAATATTAATAGTTTAGTAAAATATATAAAATAATAAAATATTAATAATTACCTAAATAGTTAATTAATAATTGTTGTTAGGGTTGATTTTCCCACTATTTTACCTTTTGAAACCAAACAATGTAACTTGAAAAATGTCCACCCATTTTCCCTTTCTCATCCCATCCCATCCCACCAAAATCTTCCCACAAACCAAAATGCAGCCTTAGAGATTTCTTTACTACAATGATGGTATCTTCCCTATTCCTTTCTGTGTTTTTGGTTGCACATGCTTTGTCCACATCTAAGGTCCTCACATTAACAAGTTTGACACTAAGACTATGAAGTGTATATAACTCTAATCAAAAGGAGCATTATTGCTTTGATCCAATTAGTGGAAAACGGTTTGTTTCTTTGGATGTGTAATTCTTTTTAGATTGTACCTTATTTTTCTCACAGGGAAACAAAATCAATTCTTTACTCCTCTATTTTCTGAGTCTCAATGTCAGTCTCTTGCTTCTACTTCTAAGTCTCCTCTTCTTTTTCCTATCATTGATTCTAGTGATGTTATGATTTAGGTATATTGACAAGAGAAGAAAGAACGTTCTACTGATCAGTCACTTCCTGTCTCTTTTGATGATGCAGGCAATATGGACCCATCAGTTCCTTAACTACTTTACCTCCACCATTTACTTTGCCTTCTCCTCCATCTGACCTTGACTTATAGCTCTCCATAAGGGTAAGTGTTGCTCCACCACTCATAGTATTTCTCATAATATTTCTTATGATCATTTATCTTCTGCATAAAAGTCCTTTCTTGTATTTCCTATGTATCTATTCCAAGAAATGTGATTGAAGCAATAGGACAGCCAAAGTGGAAGGCTGCAATGCGGGAAGAGATGTATGTTTACTTAACAATGGCAAATGGGACACCATGCACTTACCAAAGAGGAAGACACCAGTTGGTTGTAGATGGGTGTTCATAGTTAAGCATACATAAATCGGCAATTGAATATGAGGAGATATTCTCACTTGTAGCAAAAATGGCATCTATTCGCGTACTCTTGTCTCTAGTTGCCCATTATTCTTGGTCTCTATACCTCCTAGATGTCAAGAATGTCTTTCTTAATGGGGATCTTCATGAGGTATATATGAATGCTCCACCTGGTTTTTTTAGTGATTTGCCTAAGGGGAATGTAAGCTCAAGAAATCATTGTACAGGTGGAAACAATCTCCTTGTGCAGATTTGACCACTTCAGATGTTAGATCATACTCTGTTGATTAAGAAGTGTAGAGAAACTGACTGTGGGGCCACTCTGTCCGTAGGGTAGAATATACCTAGTCTATCTGTTATGTTATTCTGTTATTCTAGTTCTGTTATTTACTTTTCAGTTTTTTTATATTGTTAAGTGTTATGATGTAAACACCAAGGGCAAATATGTCCTTTCATGTAACTAGCATAACAAATAAATATTAAATTGAAGTGGCGGCGGCAGATCATTCAGAATCTGTCCTTC